AAATGCCGTCAAACTATAAGAAGAGAGCCAAAGAAAAAGGAACAGAGAAGAACTAAAAAAAGAAGCATACTTATCAAAAATGACAGTAAAAAAACCAAGCATATTTATCAATCAACAATTGGGTTGTAAAACAACCACATGTTCCAAACAAAAGACATATATGAGCGAGAGCATAAAAAAGCGAGACCCATGTATAAGCTGCCTACAAGAGACTCCGTTCAGACCAAAAGATTCATGAAGATTGAAAGCAAACTCATGCAGAAACATGCAAATGGAAGTAATACCAGAGCAGCAATACTTATATCAGGCAAAATAGTCTTTAAAACTAATACTGTTGGAAAAGACAAAGACATAATCGTAAAAAAAGAGAGTCCAACAAGAAGATATAATAATCACAGACGATTTGTGTGCACCCAACGTGGGAGCACCCAGATATGTAACCCAAGTATCAACACACATGTAGGGAAAAATCATACGGAATACGATACTAGGGGATTTGAACACCCCACTGACATCAATGGCTAGATCATCCAAACAGAAAATCAGGAAATGAAAAAGGCAACAGTGGCTTTGAATGACACACTGGACTAGATGGATGTAACAGATACATCAGAAGATGGCTTTCTAACCAGCAGAATGTAGATTGTTTTCAAGTTTAAATAAAAAAAATACATGGAAAGGAATGAAAATGAAAGCACAATGGCCCCAAAATCTTTGGGATGAAGAGAAACTATTCTAAGATGGAAAACTCTAGTAATATAGGCCTATGTCAAGAACAACAACAACAACAAATCTCATGAAAGCAAGCTGCTCCTACATCTAAAGGAGCTAGAAACACAAGAAACAAAACACAATACTAGACAGGGAAGGGTGTAATGAAGATTACAAATGGAATAAACACAATTGAAATCAATCAATCAATCAATCAATCCCCCAACAATCAAAAAGATCAATGAAACAAGGAGCTAGTTCTCTGAATAGATCAACAAGAATGATAAATGTTTAGCCAGACTCATCAGAGAAAGAGAGAGACATAGAGACAAGAGGATTTAAATAATCAGAATCAGAAGATAAGGAAAAGTAACTACTGACACCACAGAAAGTTAAAGGACTATAAGAGAACACATTGGAAAGCTTAGGAAAAAAAGGCTAAATTTTTAGAAACATACACCCCTCCATACCTGATGCAAGAAGGAATAGAAAATGTGAACAGACTGATACCTAGCAATGAAATGGGATTATAATTCAAAACACTCCCAGCAAAGTCCAGGACCACACACCTTCAAAGATGAATTCTATTAAACAGTTAAGAAGAGTTAATAACCTATTTCTCTGAAACAATTCCAAAAAACAGAAGAGGAAGGAAAACTTCCAAATTCATTCTGAGAGGCCAGCATTACCTTGAGACCAAAAGTAGATAAAGACACTATAAAAAAAGGAAATAACAGGGCACTAGCTCTGATGAATACAAATGCAAAAAAAGCTTAAATAAACTTAACCAAGGAGGCAAAAGACCTGTACTCAGAAAACTATAACACACTGATGAAGGACATTGGAGATGACCCAGACACATGGAAATATATACCACACTCATGGACTGGAAAACTCAATAAATGTTCAATGCCTATAGTATGCAACACAATGTGCAGATTCAATGCAAGCCCTATCAAAATACAAATAAACAGACCTAAAAAAAACCCTTAGAAGAGTCCTGAAATCCTAAAATTGGAACCACAAAATACTTTGAATATTCACGGGAAACTTGAAAAAAAAAAACAAGAACAAATCTGCAGATATCATAATTCCAGATTTCAAGATATAATAGAAAGTGTAGTAATCAAAACATTATGGTATTTGTACAAAAATAGACACAACATCACTAGAACAAAATAGAGGACCCAGAAATAAACTCACAATTATATGCTCTATGAATCTGTGCAATGGGAAAAAGGCATTCTCTTCAAAAAATGGAGTTGGGAAAACTGGAAAGCTACATGCAAAACAATGAAACTGGACCAGTTTCTGACATCATTTGTAAACGTGAACTCAAATGCATTGAAGACCTAAATGTGAGACCTGAAACCATAAAAATCCTAGGAGAGAACAAGAAGTGTCCGACTTTAGGTATAGCAACGTTTTTTGAGGCAGGGGAAACAAAACAAAAAATAAACTGTTGGGACCACATAAAAAAAAAAGGTTTGTACAGTGAAAAAAACCATCAATAATCAAAAAGACAATCTACTAAATAGACAGTATTTGGTAATGATCTATCCAATGAGGGGTTAATATCCTAACTGATGAAACTCAACATCAAAAAACCCAAGTAATCAAATTTCAAAAATAAGCAGAAGACATGAACAGCCATTTCTCCAAAGAAGATGTACAGATGGCCAACAGACACATGAAAAGATGCTCAACATCACTGACCATCAGGAAATGCAAACTAAAGCCCAATGAGATATCACCTCACACTTTTCAGAGGGACTGAAATAAACACACGTGCGTGCGCACATGCGCACGCGCGCGCGCACGCACACACACACACACACACACACACACGAAACGTGCTGCTGAGGATGCGGAGGAAAGGAACCCTCCCATGTTGTTGATGGGAATGCAAACTGGTGCAGCCAATCTGGAAAACAGTATGGAGGTTCCTCAAAACGTTAAACATAGAGTTGCCCTGGGATCCAGCAATTGCACTACTAGGTAATTACAAAAAGGATACAAATACGCAGTTTTGAAGGGGTACTTGCACCTTGATATTTATAGGAGCATTATCTACGATAGCCAAATTATGGAAAGAGCCCAAGTGTCCATCCATGGATGAATGGATAAGGAAGTATATGATGTATACCAGAATATTACTCAGCCATGAAAGAGAATGAAAGCTTGCTATATGCAACAACTTGGATGGAGCTAGAGAGCATTGTGCTCTCTAAGCAAGATAAGTAAGTCAGAGAAAGAAAAACGCCATAGTATCTCACTCATATGTGGAACTTAAGAAACCAAATAAATGATCCTAGGGGGATAAAAAAAGAGAGAAAAGTCAAGAAATAGACTGTTAACTACAGAGAAGAAACTGATGGTTCCCAGAGGGGAGGTAGGTGGTAGGATATGTGAAATAGATGTTGGGGAATGAGTGCACTCATCAGGATGAGCACCGAGTCATGGTTAGATGTGTTGAATCACTGTTTCTACCCCCTGAAACTAATATAACACTGCATGTTAACTATAATGCAATTTTAAAAATTAAAAATAAATAAATAAGTACAAATAAATAAATAAATAGAATCTTGAAATAATTTCTATTTTCTTATGCCAAGAACAACCTTAGCTTAATTTGTTTTATTCTGTCTATCTCTATAAATGTTGGGTCTTTTTGTTTAATCATACAGTTATCGAGCTTTGTAAACCTTGTGGTGTGTTCCAATGTAGAAGAAGTTTCACTGAGTAAAATCTAGCCCTTACAGTGTCTCTTACATATGGTACCACTAATTCCCCTATAAAAGAATTTTATTACTGAAGGTGTCTTTTAATTGAAGAACATAGCAAATATTTATTCATATTTTGCACTGTCTTAGATCATCACTAACATGATATATGGACTTACTTCTTGCACTGAACAATATATCCTGGAGATGAGAGCATAGCAGTGTACAGGGTGTTACTCCTTTGTACACTTGTCCAGTCATCTATTTTGTGGCTGTAACATTTCCTGCTGAAGAACATTGGATTTTTGTGTTTTACCATTTCAGTCAGTGCTGCGATTAATAGTTTTGAGCAGACATATTTTGTATTTTTTTCCAGTTTTGTTCTTTTTCCCCAGATTAACTTAGGTAAAACTGACAAACAAATCATATATATTTCAAATGTACAAGGTGATGATTTGAGATATATATATACATAAGGTGGAATGATTACTGCAACGAAATTAATTAACACATCCATCACCTCACATATTTATCCTTTGTGTGTGGGGTGAACAGGTGGAGGGTCTACTCTTGCAAATTTCAAGTATTGTTGTACTATTGCACAGTGTTACTAAGTATAGTCATCTTGCCACACATTCACCTTGTAACTGAAAGAGGCGTTCTTTCAGCAGCATTACATATTTCCCCCACTTTCCAACCCCCTGCCAGCCATTAATCTATTCTCAATTTCTATGGCCCAGGTTCTTCAATGTGAGATTACTGGGGCAAAGTGTAAATGAGTGTGTAACTTTAATGGAGATGGCTTAATTCACCACATTACAGGCAGATCATTTTGTGCAAACACCAACATTGCATGACAACAACAATTTTCTGCTGTTTCACCCATGGAATGTCACACTATGCAATCTCCTCCAGTGTAATGATATGATAAATGATATGTTAGTGATACGACATTTCTAATTGGCATTCCTCTTATTAGATGAGGGATCGGATATGATTAAGAAAAACTTTTGTAATTTTTAAAAATTTCCACTTAGATTTGTCACAACCCTCTTGTCTCTTATTCCCTAACCTCTCAAGTTCAGATGCAAAATATGCTGAGAGCAACCAAGGGGTGTTGATTGTAATATGCAAACCTTGGACTATGTCCCCGTCTTATGTACTTGTCCCTCTCACAACATACCCCAGATAACGGTTTTCCTTAGCTGATGTTTCTCTTTCATTTCCGGTGACACATGTTCAGCTCACCATCTGTTATGTTCTTAAATAAAATGATAAGTCTAGAAAAGACAAGGAGGATATCAGTCACCTTAATTGAGAATCTATTAATGATCAGAATGTATGCATTCCCAGCAAAATGTCAGGAACACCAAGATGCACTATGTTTGCATTCATTTAAAAATCACTTTTGAGGACCTACTGTGTGCACAGCCATTTTTTACGAGATGTCAGTAGAAAAACCAGTGCTGGCTATGAAGTAACCATCATACAAGGACTAAGATCATCTGAAGGAAGGATTCTTTAGAGCTGATTGCTCTTACTATCAAATAATAGTCACTAAGTGGGTAGTTTGTTCAAGAGTATATTATGGAAATGTCTGTGATACACCTTGAGGGCAGTGGGACAGGACTGCTTCAACGGAGCCTGAAGTCAATGTTCCAGGCACCAGCCACCACGACAACACTGAGAAGAATCAGCAACTGGTTGCTTCACTTTTCCCATTATCATTCCTGACATGCTGAAGTAGAGAGGCTTGTCCAGAGCCCACAACATCCTTAAAATTCTCTTCTCTAAGAAGAACTTTAGCATCATTTGCCACACACTCAAGGAAATAAATTTTCAAATAGAAAATATTCTGAACATACATAGTAGTGGCAATGAGTCCTCCACTAAATTCTGCTCTGGATTTTTCCACATATGTCAACAATTTTTTCTCTAATGCCTCCTCATCCTTCTCAACTGATAGCAAATGGGGAGACCTGAGGTTCGTCTTGAGTTTCCCTATTGACACGTTCAAGTGCTTGGCTATGATTTCTAGGGATGCATCATCCAGCCCAAAGTGAGACCTGTAGAAGCTTAAAGTTTCTTCCAGCTTCACCACATCAATATCAATGATCGAACTCATGAAAGGTATGGTCGCCAAAACTCTAGCCTTCAGGGCGTCCAACCAGACCTTCTGTCTCAGGGAATCCCTCCTCTGGTCAATGGCAGCCTCAGCAACAGTTGACAAGTATTGCATGAAGATATGCTGCTTTTGGTGCTTGTGGGTTGGGAGCTCCCTCAGAAGCGTGGTCTCTAGGTGTTGGAAATCATAGTCAGACAATTCAAGGCTGGAGACTAAGAAGATCTGAGTGTCACCCATATTAACATTCTCCAAATGAGTCACGTAGTCATTGCGGATCCTTTGCAGGATTTCATCCCTATTGAATGTGCTGGGTTTACAGGTTCTTAGATTATTTAAATCAAGGTCCACTTTAGTTCGGACAAAATAGAAATGCTTCTTCATTTTCCTAATTGCTACAGCCAGATCCAAATCATTCATTTTGAGGCGTACAGCAGAGACGATAATAAAGATATCATACTGCCCAAATTTCATTTTCTGTAAATACTCATGCCGTGGAAGTAGAGTGGTTTCCAGGCCAGGCAGGTCCCATAACATCACATTGGGAAATTTTTTGTATTCGTATTTGGCTCTCTCCAAGGTTATCTCCACTGGCCCTGTGTGGGCAGCGTTTTCATCATCTTGCTTGACTCCCAGCAGGGCATTGATGAAGCTGGACTTCCCTGCCCCAGACTCCCCAATCACAGCAATGTTCAGAGGGGCATTGTCAATGTCTCTCAGTGCATCATTAATTGCAGAAACTGCTCTCTGAAGGTCCCCCTTCTCCAGGTGTGACTGAATCAATGTGATGGCTTCCTGAGAGAGCATTTCACTTTCTAGTTTGAAGTCCTTAAAAAACTTGTCAAAGCTGGAGATCAAATCACCACCCTCTATAGGAGAGGGTGTGGAAGAGGAAGAGGAGGACTGACCCATGGCTGGAGCAGTAGAAGGCACTATGGGGAGGAGACAAGAGGGAAGGAAAAATAGTTAGTGCAACAAGGGGTGGCTTGGGCTGTGCTGTTAAGGACAGGTATAACATCAGTTCTGGACACGACATTGTATCCAGAAGCCCTTCTTTTTCTGTCTAGGCATTGTGTGGACTTCTGACCTGGATGTAAAGTTTGCCCTTGCTCAGGCTCTTTCCTTATCTTGGAAAGCTCTTTTTCTTTAAGGTACTGTTCAGTCTTGCAGACTAATTTTTCTATCCAAACTTTCTTGACCACATTATCCTTTATTTATCTTGCTTCACTTGTCTTTATATGTAATGTTATGAAATTAGTATTTCTTCATGTGGCAAATCTAAGAAGATAGCACCAGCATTTACCCTCACACCCCTTCCCATCTGAGGTGTGAGTCCCTCCAGAACGTCCTCTTCTGATCACCTCCCACCTCATGTCATGGACTTTGGTTCTCATGTGGGGCAGCTAAATAAAGATGAGTGGCTCCTTTCTTTCTCAGAAAAGATACTGTATACTTCCTTAGGAGATAGAAACTTTTAATGATTGCAAATGTGGTTTCTTTTAACTAGAAAGTATGTTGGCTAATGGAACAAGGTGTGGAAAGGACTCTTTCTGTTTTACCTGGAGCAGAAACAGCAGGTGGTATGGATTCTCATGTTCTAAGAAGTCATGCTGGACTATCCACTTGGGACTTTCTATGGACCATCCCAACTGTCCTGAGATCCCACACATCCCCTGCCTCTTGCCTGTGTATTAAAGGGGACAGAACAGAACAGAAGTCAGGGAGATATTCACCTAGTGGACATGATGAACTACAGGAAATTGTCAGTATAAAGAGCTGTATAACGTGTCACTGATGTAACAAATGATGTTAACAAAGACTGAAGCTGATTGGAATGTGAGGCAGCCATGGTAAAGAGGTCCGTCTGACCTCATTCTCTGAGGTCAATGAAACAAAGTTGGTTCTGGAATCTTGGACCTCTTTAATCACTGGAGGCTTATATCTTGAGAGGGGGCACCAGGAGAAATCCTGTACCTAGCACCAAAGGTAATGTGAAAGATTTGTATACTATTCCCTATAGAGATGAAGAACAAAATTTTTAGCCCAGGAAACAAGTCATTTCAAGTCACCACTGATGTCTGGGTAGGATGCAGGCTGGAGAAGTGTCTTTGACTTACAGTGAGGGATCAGACACATCTTCCAGGGGCTTCCTGGCAGCCAGAACTGCAGCCCAGAAGAGAGGATGGTGAAAACAAATTGGAGAAGAAGTTTTTCAGACCAAGTGTACATTGTTTGGAGTTCCACACATATGAAATGGGCATGCAAACATTCTCCTTAGAAGAGTAAAGTGTGGCAATTTAGCTTGTCAAGGGTGAAAGGGGCACTAGAAAGTATACTGATGGATCCTCTTCTCTCCTCTTAGAACAACCTTGCCTAAAACAATGGATCTTTGCCAATCATTGTTTTTCTGCTTTCTCTCCTCACTTAAAAACCTTTCTACTTCTACAGCTCACTGGAGTTCCTTTCTATTCCCTAGATGGGACACTACCCAAATCAAAAATTATTTAAGAAAAAAAGTTATTTAAGAAAGCCGATTAGGTCTTTAGAATTTACTTGGTTGAATTTGTTTACTAGATTTGTTGGCGGTGTCTAGATTCAAAGCAAACTTCTGACAGTATTTGGGGACAACAAGGAAACAGGTGTGGTTTCCCACAAATCCTTTTGAGTTCATGTTCTCTCTCAGCATTTCCATGGCCATTGGTAAGGCCATCTTGTTTTGAGCGCTGCTGTCTTTTGCATGAGAGCTTCTGATTGAATTGGCAGTCCAGAGTTAATGAATCACTCTCTCACAGACACAGCAGGCAGTGACAGAGCACAAGGCCTTAGCCCATGGTTGAGTCCAGAAATTCACATTGGAATTCCTTCCCCAGTCCAGTCCACAGTCTGCATTTACTGCTTTTTGCTGGCTTAGGCTGTTCCCTGTTTCTTGTCTGCAGTCTTTATTAATGGAACCTGCTGGTTTAGCTCATGACGGACAATGATGGTAATGTATAGAAAGCACTCTATGGGACAGTCCAGAGTAACTTCTAAAACTAGCCCCTGGCTGTGAACTCAGATTCCAAGTTGGCAACTGTAGGTGGCAGCTACAATTCTCCGTGTGTGTGGAATCAGGTGGCGGTCCCTATTCTCCCTATTCTTGGAGGTGTGCTGTTCAATCCTTGCCCTGTGCCCTAGTTCTTTGGTTACTGCTGTGTGCATAGTTCCACTACCTGAGTACTTTGGTTTCTCTTAATAGTCCACGAGATAAAGGCTTAGCTTAAAGATAAACAATAGATAAACAAGTGAATAAATAACCAAGTGAAACATAAACGGAATCCTTAAAAATCCAAAGAGGTAAGTGCTCTACCCTGGGCACATTGTTTATTTTACACCTAAGAATGATGGTTCTGACTGTTACCCTGTTGGTGGGAGTGTAGAAAACTGGTGCAGCCACTGGAAAACAGTGTGGCATTTCCTCTGCAAGTTAAAAATAGGACTGCCCTATGACCCAGTACTTGCACTAGCAGGTATTCACTAAATGTTACAAAATTACTGATCCAATGGGTTATGTGCACCCTGAAGGTTATAGCACCCTGAAGGTTATAGCACCCTGAAGGTTATAGCAATCTTACCTATAATAGCCAAATTACGGAAAGAGCTCAAATGTCCATCAACTGATGAATGGATAAGGAAGATGGGCTACACATATATACCACATGCACATATATAACTGAATATTATGCAGCCATAAAAATATGAAATCTTGCCATTTGCAATGCCATGTACAGAGGTAGAGTGTATTATACTATGTAAAATAAGTCAGTGAGTGAAAGAAAGAATAACACATTATTTCACTCATATGTGGAATTTAAGGGAAAAAAATGATCATAGTGGGCAAAAAAGGGAGGTGAACCAAGAAAGAGACTCTTAATTAGAGACAAGAAACTGATGGTTACCAGAGTTATGGGTTGGGTGAAATAGGTAATAGGTATTAAGAGGGCACATATTGTGATGAGCACCAGATGTAAGTAAGTGTGGAATCACTACATTATTCACCTGAAGCTGATATTACACTTTATGTTAATTATCCTGAATTTAAACAAAAACTTAAATAAAAAAAAGAACTATGGTACTGGAAGCCATAAAAGTCTACAAGCCTGTTTTGTGTTCCAGATAACTTGCCTTGGTACCCTTCAGGTTGGGAGCCACAAAATAAGGCCAGACAAACATGTATCAGTTGCCTCCTATTTGCTATTGGATATAAGTGGACAGAAATGTGTGTTAACCTCCATTTAAGGCTAGCTTCGTAACAAACTGCTGTCAGCACTCAGAGCTAGTACAATGGCCATTATGAGGACTGTAAAACACAGAAGAAAGAAAATGAAAGCAACACAAAGAAATGGAAAGAGTTTTCATGTTCATGGGTTGGAAAAACAAATGTTGTTAAAATGTCTCTACAATCCATAAAGTCTACAGATTCCGTGTAAGATCTACAAACATACCAACAACATTTTTCACAGAAATGGAATGAATACTTCTAAAATTGGTAGGGAACCACAAAGGAAAGACCCAAAGAGCCAACACCACCTTGAGAAAGAAACACAAACCTGGAGGTATCACAACTCCAGACTTCAGGTTAGATTACAAACCCATAGCAATCAACACAGTATGATACTGGCCTAAAAATAGACACAGAGCTCAATGGAACAGAGTAAGATACCCAGGAATAGCCCCACAATTATATATTCAATTAATCTTTGACAATGCAGGAAAGAATATACAATGGGCAACAGACAGATGCTGTTGGGAAATCTGGACAGCTACATGCCAAAGAATGAATCTGGAACACTGTCTTATCCCACCTACAAACACAAACTCAAAATGAATTAAAGATGTAAAGTGAGACCTGAAACCACAGAAGAGTGCACATGCTGTGTTGTCTCAGACAGAAGCCACTGTAACAGTTTATAGGTAGGTCTTCGGAGGTGAGGGAAACTTAAGCAGAAATAAACAATAAGGACCACATCAAAATTAAAAGGTTGTGCATGGTGAAGTAAACTCTCAACAAAACTAAAGGACAGCCTATTGAATGGGAACAGGTGTTTGTAAATGACATATGTTATGATGAGTTAGTATCCAAAATATATAAGGAACTAATACAAGTAAAACCATAAAAAAATTCAATTACTAAAATAGGCAGAAGACGTAAATAGCAATTTCTCTAAAGCAGATATCCAGATGGCCGACAGACACAAAAATGATGCTCGACACCACTTATCTTGAGGGAAATGCAGATCAAAACCACAGTGAAACATCACCTCATGCCTGTGAAAGGCTAACATTAAAAACACTAAGTACAAAGGTGTTAGTGCAAGTGTGGAGGAAAATGAATCCTCTTACACTGCTGGTAGGAAAGTACACTAGTGCAGTCAGTGTGGAAAATAGCTTTGAAATTTCTAAATAAGTTAAAAGTAGAACTACCATAGAGTCCAGTAATCGTGCTACTAGGTATTTACCCAACAAACACGAAGACACCAGTTCAAGGGGATGCATTATCTCTATGTGTATTGCAGCATTACTTCCAAAAGCCAAATTAGAGAAGCCGCCCACATGTGCATAGATGGATAAAGAAGATGTAGAATTTAGTACTCCATGGAATATTACTCAGCTATTAAAAAGAAATGAAATCTCGCCTTCTGCGAAGACATGAATGGGGCTACAGTGTATAACAAACAGTAAGCCTCTTGCACTAGTCAGAGAAAGACAAACACCATATGATTTCACTGATTTGTGGAATTCAAAAAAGAGAACAAATGAGCAATGGGGAAAAAAAAAGATGAGGAAGCCACAAAGTCAAAGACAGACTCCCCACTAAAGAGAACAAACTGATGGTTACCAGAGGGGACGTTGGTAGAGGATGGGGGAAACAGAGGGTGGGGGTTGAGAGTACATTTATCGCGAAGAGTACTGAGCATTGCATAGAACTGTTGAATCACTATCTTGTATCCCTCTAACTAATATAACAGTAACAGTAACAGGTCTTTATTCAGCTGTCACCTAGCTGGAGTCATCAATGTGTTCTTCTTACTGTATGTGTGTTTTCGATAGAAGTTTGCCCTGCTGCAAAGCAGATGCCCTCACAGTGGCAAAGGAACTGTTAATGATTTCTTTCTTTTTCTCTTCCTCTCTTCCTTTAAAAATATTTCCCTTCCTACAGCTCAATGGAGCCCCTTTCTGTTTGCTAGATAAGATGATGCCTAATTCATGAATCATATAATAAAGCTAATCATCCTTTAAAATTTATTTATTTAAGGGGTACCTGGGTGGCTCAGTGGGTTAAAGCCTCTGCCTTCAGCTCAGGTCATGGTCTCAGGGTCCTGGGATCCAGCCCCACATCAGGTTTTCTGCTCGGCAGGAAGCCTGCATACCCCCCTCTCTCTGCTTACTTCTCTGCCTACTTGTGATCTCTGTCAAATAAATAAATAAATAAAATCTCTAAAAAAAATTATTTATTTGAATTGTGTCATTAATAGATAATACATGCATTGTCTCCCCCACAGAAAGGTAGTTGGGCATGAGATAGGGAGTAGGGGGTGTCTGATCAGGAAGCTATAGGGGAAAAGCCCCATCCGCTGACACCCCAGACATTCACATGATCCTTCTGCAGTTCACAGGAATAAAGTTTGTCCTCCAACCTCCCTCTGAAAATGTCCCAAATAGTTAAATGCTCTAACTGGCTCACAGCCATGCACCAGACATCCTGCCCCTCAGCCTTTCAAGCCCACAGCACCCGAGATCAAGCATCCAGGTTCTCCCAAGCTTAGACATACAAATCTGTGATTTCTTGCTTACCAGCTCCTGGAGGGAAAGAGACACCTGGTGTCAGTGTTGAGCTCTGAATGTGTCCTTGGGCAGCTCAGGAGATGCTGAGCCTGGTGGATGTGCTCCCTGCAGCCCACAGCAGGAGCACTGCTGCTCAGACTGGCCTTGCACTGGAACAGGTACTGTGTGCTGGTTTAGTCACTGAAGAGAGAAAGAGCTGACGGTCACCCCTAATGTCTATACTGCCTGTGAGGAGCAGGCAGGACTTAAATCATCTCTGGCCTCTGCTCCACCCTCAGAGGATTCTGACCAATAGTAAAAAGAAGCAGCCATCACATTGCAGAGCCCTGCATTTCCAGGAATAGAAAGTGAAATTGAAGTTCTGAGGGCTCCTTTTCCGAGAAACACAGCCATCGCCAGGAAGGGAAACTGAAAGGCATCAGGACCATTGATATGGTGTGTTTTTGGCTTCATGAGTGAGAGGAGGACACAGAATCCCAGGCAGCAGCCTTCTCAGTGACCCCAAAGGACACCTAACTGAGCCCCAGACTCCAGGCCAGGCCGAATCTGAATGCACATTCAAAGAACACAGTCTTGGGAAAATGACAGTCATGCCTCACCTGTTAACCTTGGACAGCCCATACTCTATGGGAAGTGAAGTCTAGTAAAGAGGGTACCTAGTCCTAGTCCCTGGTTCCTGGCAAGAGCTTCAGAATCCCTGGGGATTTCCTGACTGTTGGAAGCTGACTTTGTTTAGCTAATGAAGTGATTCCAGGCAGGATCCTAAATTGCTTCAGGTCAGTGGCTGGCCACCAGGAAACCAACCCTGTCAACATAGTGTAGAGGCTCTGGGCCAGCTGAACATCTGGGAGGAGAAGAGGGTAGACACTGAGCTCAATTAAGTAGCCAGTGATTTAAGCAATCATGTCTTTGTAATGAAACATCAACCAAAACCCTAGACACCAAGGCTCAGTGGGCTTCTTAGTTGATATTTGCATTGACGTTCTGGAAGGTTGCATACTCTGGCTCCATGGACAGAGGCATGGAAGCTGTGTACTCCCCACCAGAACCCACCCTATATGTACCCTTTTAAATAAAACTGGAATTGTAAGTATAACACTTGCCTGACTCATGTGAATCATTCTGATCAATTAGCAAGCCTGAGGGGGTTACAGGACCCCTCTAATTTGTAGACAGTTGGAGATCCAGGTGACCTGGGGACCCCCCATCCCCCAGTGCAGCTGGTGTCTGAAGTGAGAGTAGTCTTCTGAAGGACTGAGCCCTGAAACCTGGTGAGACTTTGCTAACTCTGCATGGTTAGTGCAGGAATTAAAAGACAGTATACCCAATTGGGGTGGAAACTGAATAGGGAGTAACCCTGTGTCCTGGGGAGCCATATCCTGGCTTTAATTTTTCTTTTCATATTTTTAAAATGTAAATCCTTATATAGTTTACAATTCAAGGGGTATAAAATGTATGCAATAATATGTCCCTCCACTTGACAATGGGCCTTGTCAAGTGTCTGTGCTAGAGAGACCATGTCGTCCATTTTATGAATGTATGAGCAAATATGCACAATCCATTTTCTCCTATTTATAAAAATGGCAGCCTTTCTTACACAATGTCCCGCACCTTGAATTTTTCATTTGATATTTGGTAATAGTTGCGGACATGCACACTCAACCCTCCTCCTGTTAAAATAGTGTACAACTAAAATTAATGGAAAAGTGTATGTTAACTAACCAGAATTAAAAAACAAAAGTAAAAAAAATTATGTAAAATAAAATAACAAAAGAATAAAAATATTTTTATTAATGTGTTTTCAAATAAACATCTGTTTTACTGACAAGTAGGTTAAGAAATAAGACCTAGGTGAACTATGGCTCAATAAAACTGTCGTTTTAAAAAAGGAGAAAAAGAAATGAGACTTGCCATCAACCCAGTAAAGTCTGGTGATGCCCTGCAAATAGCAAGTCCCTCCTCCTATGTGGAGTTTCTTCCCCTCTTCTTTTTTTTAATTGACGCACAATTAACATAAAATATTATATTAGCTTTAAGTGCACATAATATGAATACAACAGCTCTAGACATTACTCAAAGCTCCCCTTGGTAAATGTGTCACCCTCTGTCACCATAGAACATTGTTACAATATTATTTACATTCCCTATGTTGTACCATTCATCTCTGTATTTATATTCTTTATACATGGAAGTTTGTATCTCTTAATCTCCTTCATTTATTTACCTTTCCCCCCTCCCCTTGCCTTACCTCCCCTGAGGCAGCTACTAATTTGTTCTCTGTATTTCATAGTGTTTTTTTGTTGTCTGCTTAGACGCCATATATAAATAAAATTATATCGTATTTATCTTTATTTTTCTGAATTATTTCAATTAGTATAAGACCTTGTAAGCCCATCCATGTCATTGCAAATGGCAAGCTCTCGTTCTTTATGGCTGAGTAATATTCCATTATATATAGTGCATGGTCTTTTCTATTGGTCTATCAGTGCACACTTGCGTTGCTTCCATATCTTGACTATTGTAACTAATGCTGCAATAAACATAGAGGTGCAGATACCATTTTGTGTTAGTGCTATTGTTTTAGGTAAATTCCCAGGAATGAAATTACTGGGCTAGGTGATACTTTTATTTTTAATTTTTTGAGGATATTGCATTCAGCTTTCCACAGTGGTTGCACCGATTTATATTCCTGCAACAATACATGATATCTCCTCTTTTCCTACATCCTCGCCAATACTTGTTACTTTTTATCTTTTTATCACTAGCCATTCTGACTGGTTGAAATGTTGAGATGATGTCTCATTGTTGATATGATTTGTATTCCCTTGATGATTATTGATGTTGAACATCTATTCATATCTATTGGCATATGTTTTTGGTTTTGTTATATCTACTCAGGTCCTCTGCCTATTTTTAAATTGGATATCTTTTTCCCTGTTGAGTTGTAGAAGTTCTTTATACATTATCTATATTAACACCTTATCAGATGTATCATTTGCAAATATCTTCTTCATATGCTAGACTGCCTTTTGTTTTGTTTATTGTTTCCTTCACTTTAAAAAAGCCTTTGGTTTTGTCATGGTCATAATGGCTTATTATTGTTTTGTTTATCCTGCCTGGAGGATATCCATAATATGTTCCTGAGAGAGATGTCCAAGTGATTACTGCATATATTTTTTTTTAATTTTTATTTATTTTTTAAATTTCTTTTCAGTGTTCCAGAATTCATTGTTTTGTGCACCACACCCAGTGCCCCATGCAGTACGTGCCCTCCATAATATCCAGCACCAGGCTCACCCAACCTCCCACCCTCTCCCCTCCAAAACCCTCAGTTTGTTTCTCACAGTCCACAGTTTCTCAGGGTTTGTCTTCCCCTCTGATTTCTCCCAACTCACTTCTCTTCTCCATCTCCCTATGTCCCCCGTGTTATTCCTTAAGCTCCACAAGTAAGTGAAACCATATGGTAGTTGACTTTCTCTGCTTGACTTATTTCACTCAGCATAATCTCTTCCAGTCCCATCCATGTTGATACAAAAGCTGGGTATTCATCCTTTCTGATGGAGGCATAATACTCCATGCTATATATGGACCACATCTTCCTTATCCATTTGTCTGTTGAAGGGCATTTTCATTCTTTCCACAGTTCGGTGACTGTGGCCATTGCTGCTATGAACATTAGGGTACATATGGCCCTTCTTTTCACTACTTCTGTGTCTTTGGGGTAAATACCCAGCAGTGCAGTTATATTTTTTAGGAGTATTATGGTCTCGTGTCTCACATTTAGGTATTTAATCCATTTTGAGTTTATTTTGCAGTATGGTATAAAAAGTAGTCCAGTTTCATTATTTTGCATGTAGCTGTCCAGTTTTCCCAAAAACCATTTGTGGAAAAAATTGTCTCTTCCCTTTGTGTGTTTGTCCCTATTTTGTTGTACATTAATTGACCATATATGTACAGCTTTATTTCTAGATGAAAATTCTGTCCCATTGATCTCGTGTTGATTCGTGTACCAGCATCATACTGTTTTGATCTCTACAGCTTTGTAATATAACCTGAAGTCTGGAATTGGGATGTTTCCAGCTTTGTTTTTATTTTTCAAGATTACTTTGGCTGTTTGGGTCTTGTGTGGTTCCACACTAATTTTAGTATTGCTTGCTCTAGTTCTGTGAAAATTGCTGTTGGTATTTGGACCAGTTGCATTAAATCGTTACACTATTATGCATTACATGGACATTTTTACCGTATTTGTTCTTCAAATCCATGAGCATGGGGTGTCTTTCCATGTGTTTCTGTTGTCTTCAGTTTCTCTCATCACTGTTTTATAGTTTTCGGGGTGCAGGTCTTTCACCTCTTCAGTTATTTATGCCCAGATATTTCATTACTTTTGGTGCAATTGTAAATGGGATTGTTTTAATAATTTCTCTCTGCTGCTTCATTATTACTTTATACAAATGCAGTGGATTTCTGTATACTGATTCTGTATCTTGTGACCTTACCTAATTCACTGATGAGTTCTAGTAGGCTTTTGGTGGAGTATTTAGGGTTTCTTTTTTTTTTTTTTTAATGTATCATGAATCACCCAGTTACCCCATCCTCCCACCAACCTCCCCTCCAGCAACCCTCAGTTTGCTTCTTTGTATGCCCTCCTTAGGGAGCACTGATGGTATATGTAAACAATGAATCTTGGACCAATACATCAAAAACTAATGATGTATTGTATGGTGACTAATATTACACAATAAAATTTAAAAACAAATACGAAAACAAGCAAAGAGTCTCTTATGGATTGTCTCCCTCTCTGATTTCGTCCTATTTTATTTTTCCCTGCCTTGCCCTATGTTTCTCTATTTTGTTTCTTAAATTGAACATGAGTTAAATCATGTGATGATTATCTTTCACTGATTGACATATTTTGCATAGCATAATACCTTCTCGTTCCCTCCATGCTGATGCAAATGGTAAAGTTTCATTTTTTGATAGCTGAGTTATACACACACACACACACACACACACACACACACATATACATTCACACACACACACATACCTCATCTTCCTTATCCATTCGTCTATCAAGGGACATCTGGGGTCACTCCATTGTTGCTATGGACATTGTTGCTATAAACATTGGGGTGCAAATCACTATGATTATATCCTTTGGGTAAATACCTAGTAGTGCATTGCTGGGTTGTAGGTTAGCTCTA